ACCCCGTTACAACAATTCTGATAAACAGCGCCAAGCTTTTGCCATAGATTGGTAAACCACAAGTTTGATAACATACCGAACCAACAATTACATAACAGGGATATACATAGATCTCACTACGAAATCACGAGCAGCTTCACTGGTATTATGACGCGAAAGGGCATTAAGAAAATCTTTTATCATGTTTAATCGAAGCAGTTTCGTGAACTACAGACGCATATATCTAAACAAACGACTTAAGGGAACCTCGTGAGAATTGTTGTGATGTGGAAGTGGCAACACCAGCTTCTTCAAGCGTAGTATAAAGTTTTTCTTCTCACTACGATACCATATACAATATATCTTACCGTATACTCACACTCTTCAAAAGTGCCGAAGCTTAACAATGTTTATAAGTTATAATGCATGCAATATGAAAAAGCTGTTAAGACGATATTGATTTGTATGGCCTAAAAAACATAATCTTGCAATCTTGGATGGATGGACAATCGCTAATCGGGCAAATCTAGCGAAACACCATTCGTATGACCATTGCGTGAACAGCGTCTTGAGCGACGACGAAATAGTGGAAATGATTTACTCATGGATATGAATTGCTCTATTTGACAATATGTGTCGACTTTACCGCTTGTAAATTATACTTGAATCTTGCGCTTCTTCTTGTTACGTTCGGCAGGCGCAGAAATATTCTGTACGAATCCAGTCTTTTCTTCGTCAATCGTGCGTTTTAAGTACTTGAGACCGGCCAAGTTAAATCCTATGCGATTTTTACTCTCGACGAGCTGCGAGCGCAGTAGCTGCCACAGCAATTCAAGCTCGTTCAATAGACCCATACGCGAGCAAATTGCTGAATTGTGAAGTTTAAGCAAAAAGAGCAGCACATGACAGCAAAATTCCAATTCTAAGCGGCATGAAATCAACTGAAGTAGCAACCGGATCAAGCGTTCCACGTAATCGAATGGCAGCACAATGAGTGCCGCTTCCATGTCGTGCGGTCGAATACGCCGCAGCGTATGAAGCACATATTTCAGTGGTGAGTAACCCAGCAGCAGCATATTTGGTGGACGCGTTTCCTTCTTCACTGCGCTGATAGCTTCATGACTATCATCCTTCTCCGCAGGCAGAGCATTGGTGTTCGTCTCTTCAAGTGCTTTTTTCTTCTCCTGCTCCTGCTTCTTTGCGTTGGCCAGAGCCTCCTTGATCTTCTTCTTTTGCACACGTTCAAAATCGGCAATGGCCTGCAGCTCAGTTTCAGCAAGATCAATAGCCTCCATCAAACTTTCACCCGCACGAACAGATTCAATAGTGCGCTTTGCGGCTGATGCCGATTTGTTAGTTTCACCCTTGTCTTCTATAGTCTTTTCATTGCCCATTGCAGGAGCCTTGGGATTGCTTGAATTTACAAGCTCGTTCTCAAAAAGCTGTTCCATCTCCTTCTCCCTTTCTTCCTCGATGAATACCTGGTCTTCTGTGCGAATATATTTGCACAGCGATCGGTCTTGCGAGCAACTCACGACGAAGCTTCCATCATTGCTCACCGCCAGACCCCACACTTCGCCAAAGTGGTGATGATCAATTTTCAATATGCGTTCAAAGTGATCTCCATCCCAGTAGCAGATCGACTTGTCTTTCGATGCAGTGAAAAAGTAGTGTGTCTTTCGCACAAAGCGAACGCTCATGATGCTATCTTGATGTGCAAAGATTGATTTATGGCAATCGCCAAAGTCTAGACCCCATAATTTGACGTTCTTGTCCGCAGACGCAGTTACCAGCATAGAATCGTCAGACGAAATATCCATCGACATCACAGGAAGTTTGTGACCGTAAAGGCTCACAAAGAATTTGAGAGAGTCGTCAAAAAAGACCTTGACAGTGCAATCCAACAGAGCCACTGCCACAAGAAGCTTCTTCGAATCGTTAGTGTTGCTAAAGCGAACGCAAAGCACATCATCTGACATCTTGAGCAGACGAGCATGTGACAGACCAAGACGCAAAGCGGTGCTTAGCTCTGCATCGTCAGGGCGAAACATTTCGAAGTCCCAAAAGTTAACGTGCTGATCAGCACCACCAGTCACGACGCCACGTCCGTCAGGACGTACGTCAATGGACCAGACGGCACAGCCATTGTGTGCCTTCTCATCTTTCCAGATACATTCTCCTGAGTTCAGGTCAAATAGCAAAAGCTCCCCAAGTTTTGTACCAACAACAACGTGCATATTACCCGGTGCAAACGCCGCTGATAATGCAAGAGACAAGTTATCGCTCAATGTTCGAATGCACTGCAACGAGCGCGAGTTCCAAATCTTTACCGAAATTCCTGACAGTGATAGAATTAGCTGATCGTCTGAGCTGATTGCGACCTGGCGCACATCCGATCGATGGCCACTTAGTGTGAGTGCATGCGATTTGCTATACCGATCCTCGAGAGCACTTGCACTCGGCAAAAGAGTGTAAGTTTCAATGCTATTGTTCTGTAGCCCAAGCATCAGCGATGTTGTTCCGTTCTTGGCCACGTCCGGAGAAAACGCAAAGGACTTAATTCGATGCGACGATCGTACCACACAAAGCAGCTCCAGTTCGTCCGTCGCTGAATTGTCTGTGGCATCCTCTGTGTCTTTGTGTTCCTTTTTTGTAGTCGTTTCCACTTCAAGGCCTTGTTGTGGTTTCTTCTTCGCCTTTTCACGCACACGCTTTTCACGACGTTGACGTTTCTTTTTGATCTCGTCTGCGGATCGTACACGATAAATCTCCAGCGTTTTTCCTGCACTCTGAACACCAACTAAATCTCCCTTACTATTGTAGCTTACTCGCGCAACACGATCGTTGCTCTGCCTGTATATGTGCCCCAAGAGCTTAACTGTCTCCCCTTCGTTGCCATGTTGGTGTTGCACGCTCCACACTCGTAGTTGGTTGTCGGATACACCAGTCAATAGTCGATCACCCTTTGGATTCACTGCTAAAGACCACACTTCATTGCGGTGGCCCACACATGTTTGCACACAGTGCTGCGTTTCAAGGTCCCACACCTTGACAAGCGTGTCTTTTGAGCTGGATGCTAAGGTCGTAGGTGTCAGAAAAGAAAGCGCCGTGACAGCATCCTTGTGACCTTTTAAACGAAAAAGACCCGTCTGGCTTACCAAGTCCCAAATTATCACGTCTGTATCCCGCGAACCCGATGCGAGCTCAGCACCGTCTGCGCGATACGCTAGAGCTTCGACAGAAGCCTTGTGGCCATCTAGCGTCACTATTAACGCTCCTGTCGACAACTTAAATAGACGAACGATTCCAGTTGAGTAGCCACAGACCACATCGTTGCCATCTGGACTTAAAGCCAAGGCAGTGATCTGACCTCCACCGCTTTCTGGAGCTAAGAGATCACGCACCTTGTTTCCTTGTCGAATGTTCCATACCGCCACATCTTGAAGTGCCGGAGAAATTGCCAAACGTCCACTTGAATCGTAAATAACGTTGCCTTCCACAGACGCAATTACGCCAAAGGAGCAAGCGCGCTCGTAACGCAAGTACGACTTGACCATGCTGTGTACAAAATGAATGGTGCAGCCAGTTATCGGTATGCAAGAGGATGTATATACGATATACGGTACAATTTATAGTATGCCGCTACAGAGTTTGTATGTAGGAAGCTAGGAAAAAGTGAGCCGTTATTTAAAGACGGCACCGAAAGGCTTCTTCTGATGCTTCGAAAAGCTGGCCTCCGTAGTAAATTATAAATGTATTCATTTGATCGCTAAACACTTTCATCCGCAATAAATAACTACATGCTGAATGAGGTCAATGCGCACAATTCGTGACATCCTTAAGGTTGACCAAAGAAGTGGTTTAAAAGGCGTACTTGGTCTTATTTCTCCGAATAGGAGGTGAACGATGCAAAAAAAACGAAGCTGGAATTCAAGAAAGTACTGCTCGATATAGGTTGAGCTCACGATGCTCCGGGGGTGGCAGATGTAAATTGGCCGGAGGCAGCAGCTTTAAGCTTTTTCGGCACATTAAGTGATTGCAAGGCATCATCTGTTGATCCGTAGCTGCGTATTGAAGCGTTGCGTATATTCATTCTTGAAGCGTCATCGACTCGGCATTCGTTGTTCGGACACGAGTAGGTCAAAAGCCTCGTGGTCATTTGCAGAGAGCACAAAGAAAGTCTTTATCGCCTTTAACAATCGGCCAGAGTGTTGTAGCACTTTGAGAGGTTTGCCGCTTGCTCTGTGTGCTTACATAAACAAAACTGCAGCTTTTTCAAGATGACTCCACAATTAATGCAGCTGATACACACATGCTGTCTCTTCGTGAAAAAGCTCTACCTTAATGAAAAGTTCTGCAGCAGGGCTACCGCGCAATTTGCACAGAGAAAGCTTTATTTTCCAGAGTCGACGTTAGCTAATGCACAGAGGATGGATTCGCCTGCCTGCCGAGCCATACAAATGTCAGGCTCAGTACTTACTCCTGTTTAATCCAAAAAGTACATATAAGCTAGCTAAAATAGGTATTATATAGGTATCTCTTTTTTTAGTATCTGCGGTAACATCACCCTGCACAACGCGATGCCTGGGGTCTGCACAATCGTTACGGGCATTACTCTTATTCACACAAGAACTGATTATGATGTTTCATCCAAATGCTGATTTCAGTATCTCTGAGCTTTGCTCTAGACGAACATGAATGCGTACACATACATACTAGAGCACGTTTACCGTTACAGTCCACTCTCGTTCATCTTCTAGTTGTTCAAGAGCCCAGGCCAGTGAACTTGGTACTGAAAGCCGGATTTCATCAATGCCAGCACAGGTAAGAAATTCGACGAGGCAAAAACCATAGTTGACAAAGAAGTACTATTTGATGTCAGGCAATTTATGGCAATCTCGCAATGCTTGGAATTATAGAAATGTGTACAAACAAATTTTGAGCCGAAAGCAGCAGAAATTGGGAACTTCAACCAGCCAAGTGACTTTGAAGGCATCATCTGCTGACCTGCTCTTGAAACGAAGAATGCTATGAAGAGTTCAGCCAATTCCTTATCGCAGATACATCTGCTCAGCATCTGCCAGCAAACTAACGTGAACTAAGCTGTAAGTGGTCATTTCAATGAAGAAAAAAATGTTTGAAGCTTAAGACACCATGGAAGGTTTGTTCTGCACTGCGTAGTGATATGAACGAGAATGTCGTGATTATGGTATCTAAATCGTCAGCCTTCTGCAAAAGGAAAACGGAGATAGACGAGGTCGTCAAGGCAAAATGCCTTTTATCGTAGGGGACTATGTAATACTTAGTACTACGAAGCTATCAGACGATGCGATCTCAAGCTTGGAAAGCTCGAAGCTATAACCTCGCTTCATTCGTCCACTCTAAGTAGTGTTTTTCCATGGTAATGCGACCTGCCAAGACTTGTAATACCACTATAAGCACAATCATTACACGCACGACATATCTTCGCGAAAATAGTCCTAATTCAAGAATACTACCGCATCATGTGACGTGCGCTGACATTGGTAACAAGTTGCATTTAGTTACATTTTAAACAAAATACGGAGCTATCTAAAGCTTACATCTGATAGGCATCTTTTGCAGCAAAGTTGTCGTGCACTTAATATAGATCAAATCTTAAGCCTCAGATCGATGGCCACGCACAGTGTATGGTTTCGTGTACTTCAATCCCAGGGCATCGCAGATATTTGATATATCTGCTAGCTTGAGAATATGTATTTGAAGTCTATTTTGATATATGAACGTTCTTATCATCAGCTGTCCTACTTTATATTGTGCGGCTAGTAGTACATGTGTTTGGACTCTAACATTTTGAAGCTCACTCTCCCCCCAAAATTTCATAAATGTTGATATTTTGGTACTTTCGAATATTCACGATCAAAGCAACATTAAAGCACATGCCGTGTTACACCCTCCTCCACCAAAATTGTATTACATTGTGGCTAACGCCCGGTTATATTTTTAAGACATTGCGCGAAAGTGAAATTTTCACCAGCAACAACTAGACCTGAAGTCTTCGCTCTCTGCTCATTACCGTACCATGATTTCTCATGCAAAATTGCACAAGGAGTTTAATGCTGTGCACCATATATTCTGGCTCAGCGAGCACCCGCCAAAGGCATAGTCTCGGCGACCGACGCTCTTCGAAATATATTTGGTAATAATGAGCAGATATTATTTGATAAAAATGGTTTCAAGGACTCTCTAGGACTCATCCAGACAGCTCTGTCATTATTTGATAATACACGCCTAGCCACTCCCCTCGTACTTCGCTCTGCCTCCCCGCTGCACGAAACTATACCTCTAACCCCTACTTCATACATTTCATGACTGAATATTCGAAGGTGGACTCCTTGGGCCAGGTGGATACCACCTCATATCCACCTGACCCAAGGAGTCCACCTTCTTTATCGCAAGCGTCACGCCGACTTTGCCTAAATCACGCCTTGATTACTTTTTTAAGACGTCTAACGCGCTGGTGTGAAGATCCTTCACGCCGATGAGGGTGGGCGGCTCGCTCACGTTCAGAGTGGAACGAGCGCAAAAATGCCTCTGGAACACATCCTCATCCAACCGGTCATCACCCTCCAGGAGTACTACCAGCGCGTAAAGTAGGAATGGTTGGAGAAATTTGAGTCCGTGATTTGGCATGTACATTGGGTACTGGATGCTGGTGAATGCGTCTGGGTCTAGAAATACGACACCACACCCGTTTGAGGCTTCACAAGCCGGCTTAAGCGAAACGGGCGTCCCGCTTGAGCGTCATTTTATGCTCAATTTTTCCCGGTACAAACCATGACGCGATCGTTAAGGTGGCAGCTTATCGCCTTGCCTTGTCTCGATGGGTCAGCTGTAACAGCTACTGACCAAGAGTCCAATTTACCAGAAAATTGGTTGCCTCAAAATTGGAAACCAAGTGCTCCATGCGACCCTGCTTCTTCTCTAAAAGAGACAAACGCCAATTGTGTGCCGGAGCACAAGCGGCAACGGCACCAGGGCAATCTCGTCAAAGCGAAATCATTAAATCTATAACTGAGATTGACTCTTCTGCTGCGACAGGTATTGATAAGAGTTCTGGTAAAACGCTAGTTACCCAAATTCTCCACTTAATAGTGGACAACTCCTTGCTCATGGGTCATTGCCATCGGAGGTAGATCCTTCCGCGGCTGGATCGTGCGGGCTTTCCTGTGTGTTGCGCTAGAGCAACCCTCTCCGGGAATATCAGTTTGCGTTTGCGGCTGCGATGATCTAGATCTTGGGCTCGCTATCTGTGCTTCGTCATTATTCTACCTGGCGTGAAAAAAATACATCCGGCTGTCCGAAATTGCATCGCTGTAATTTGAGCAGAGGATAGCACAGGTACAGAGTAAAATAAAGATGCCCGTTTGCAACAGAGCTCTTCATGTCCGCCTGGCTCGAAAGAGCGGAGACGAAGAATCGCTTAGTAGTTGAGCTTGAAACATTGAATGTGTGGGGATAGGTTTACTGCATTCTGTGAAACCTTTTGCCTCACGATATGTATCTATGTATTCCGCCTGCCACTGGCATTCGTGTTTTGCTTGTGTTTGGCTAGGCTGTCAGCCATAGCGTCGCGTACTCTGCGCATGATGCTCAATATCCTAGCGATAAATGGCTGAATTACAACAAACAGCTGCTGGTATGATACCCAAAGTCGTATTCGATTCAATGTCTCTACGTCACTAAGACTGGAGTCACTTTGCGGACGCGTCAAAGAACCTAGGGCGAACGAACCGTTCATTTAAAGATGACGTAACGCCTGAATATGTATGTACTACGTTAGTCAGCAGTTTAATAAGTGGGCAAACTTAATTTGGCGCCGATAGCCTTAAACAATGTCTACCAGAACTTTACTGTGAAAGATAGATCTCTATCCGATGCAACTACTATCGCCAAGACAAATTGGCGGATTGATTCTCGAGGAATCTATTGGCGGTATTCTCACCGGTTACACGATCGCTGACAGCAGCAGGATACGCCATCTTGTTCAACAGGTATACAGAAATCAGAGTGCCGGTATTACGACACCTACCATTCGGTCAGTCCGGGGATATACTTAGCTGCCAACTCTTTACCAGAGTGGACAGACTGAACAAACACGTCGTAGTATACGACAAAGGCTAACTCGTTGACAGGCTTCACGTGTGATCACAAATTTTCTCACCCACTTATGCATATGGGGTCGCCAAAACGTTTCGCCCACCGCGCAGTATATAGTCTCTCTTTTTTAGCGTTCGCACAAAGGTGTATAAATGAGTTTGATGTCTTTGTCATAAGGCATCACTGCAGGTTGTGTTTCTCGAGTCAGTGCTGTTATACTGTAAATCTTGAATTTATGAGTTAGTAAACAGGCATGTAAACGCGCGCATCGATAAAGCGATACTTGAGTACTGGACATTCTTCTTCGCAAAGGCTTCATTACCCATAAATCCTCTCGTCAATCGGCAATATCACCATAGTGATGACAATTCGTTGCCGGTGCAGCGCAAAAGTGCTATACCAGGCTCGCCCAACATGCAGTTTACCTTATAGGTATGCTCGGCAGAACAGGATATTCCTTTTGTCAGTTTTTGGTGACGGCGTCGTTGTACGGAATAAAGCACAGATGGAATAGATCACAAACGACACAAAGCCAAATAGCTGCACTTTGAACTGGTGAAGGCTCACTTCATTGCAAAAGGCCGGTGTCAAAAATAATATACGTCTTCCCGACAGCTGTTAGTTAGCAAGATTAAGATTTGATCACGCGTTTACGCCCATCGACATCTGCTTGGAGTAAGGCACATCATTTTTTACAAAGGCTGAAGAGTAAAAAAAGACAGGTCATGATCCGAAAGAGTCAGAATGAGGTCGCGTCTGACGCTACCTTCCGTAGCCTAAAAGACTAGCACGCAACACTAATTTAACTCTTTATCTAAAACGATTGATGAGGGATCATGCCATGTCGGTATAACTTCACTTGAGTTGCGCAAATTATTAACAGGACGAATCACTTTTTCAAAATTGTTTTAATGGAGGCCTTAGTCAATATACGTTGGTATTATTGCTCCGAGTTCAGCCCACGCAATGCAAAAAGAATATTGCGCCGGGGCCTTAAGCCATTTTCATCTGCATTGACAAGTCGTTTTATTTTCAAACGCATACACTCAAGAACCGCCTGCAGGTGATCGGTTCGGCCCTCCACACTCGACTGACTGTGCTGCATATCTACGAGCAAAGTTATCGTCGAAATAGGTGTGTATAGCCCCGACGTGGCCTGAACAGCTGTACCATCAGACAATTGAGTGCCGATGGCGCATTAGACAGTGGTTGTGGAGCAACCAGTCCACATTAAGGGTAACCTGGTTAAAGTACGCACCACAGTAAAAGTGACATTGCTATCTCTCATCGACAGTAGATTATAACCATCACCCAGGGTCGAGAGGGCAATGGGTAAAGTGCAGCCAACCATGCTGTTCTTTTCGTATGAGCAGGAATTGTAACTGATTTAGCGAATCAGAAGCGTGTGCAACTCACCACTTGCCGTTAGCCTGTATATAACAAGAAGCTAGCGCCAGCTGCAGCGACTTACTTTTTCCGTCAAACCGCTTCATGTTTCGCACGGAAGAGAACTTCAATAACTTTTCACTGTTCCTTGGTAAGAGCGCAATATTTGTTTCCAGGGACCAAGTAACCTGATAAAGCACATCCTTTCGAAGACCAATACGCATGACAAATCTCTCATTGCCGTGTCATGATATTCTTGCAAATTAGAATAAACTAATTGTAATGACCTTTTGAAATAGGGAGAATAAAAAATTGCCCAAACTTTTGCCATATATAAAAAAAATATCCCAACTTTTCAAAAAATAAAAAAACAGCACGTAAGTTATCACCGGGGAGCCGTAATATTACACAACAGAAGATGTATTGTATCAGGAATGAATTAGCATAATTTAACAAAATACCCCACAATAACAAAGTATACATTAATATGCTATAACCACTCAGTTTACTATTAACCAAGTAAAGCTAAATTAAAGAATACTTGACTTCTAACCAGGTCCCACATTAGCTCAGATAGGGACATGAGACTACCTACCCATTAGGTTCGATCTAAGGACCTTTGCTTGTATTTTGCGCTCTACTATATATTAGAAGTCAAGTATTCTTTAATTTAGCTTTACTTGGTTAATAGTAAACTGAATGGTTATAGCATATTA